CGCGCCACAACGGCGTGCAATTTTCATCTCTCATCTGGCCAGATGGCTCCGCACCCGCCGCTTTAGCGAGCCTACTTTTCGACCCTCCGGAGCCACAAATCATTGGAAAAACACTGTGTTTCGCGGCTTTCCTACCTTTTCGCGCACCTGCATCTTCTTTCTTCTGAGTCTTTCTCTTCTCTGATCTTCTCTCTTCTACTCTTCTCTTCTCTCTGACTCTGCACATCTCTGCTTTTCATCTCTCCATATTGTCGGAAGTTTGACTTCTAAACTTCCTTCGGCCAACAGCGAGTTACAAAATTACTTTACTTCGTGTGATCCCCACCATGACATTTATCGATTTGTTACTGGCAAATCTTCCGGCATTCTATCTGACATATCTTCTGGCATTCGATCTGGCATTCGATCTGGCATTCTATCTGGCATATCTTCTGGCATTCTACCTGGCACATCTTCAGGCATATGTTCTGGCATATCTTCTGGCATTCTATCTGGCATTCTATCTGGCATATCTTCTGGCATATCTTCTGGCATATGTTCTGACATCCTATCTGGCATTCTATCTGGCAAATCTTCTGGCACTCTATCTGGCACTTTATCTGGCATACCTTCTGGCATTCGATCTGGCATATTTTCTGGCATTCTATCTGGCATATGTTCTGGCATATCTTCTGGCATTCTATCTGGCATATCTTCTGGCATATCTTCTGACATCCTATCTGGCATTCTATCTGGCCAATCTTCTGGCATTCTATCTGGCAAACATTCTGGCACTTTATCTGGCATACCATCTGGCATTCTATCTGGCATATCTTCTGGCATTCTATCTGGCATATCTTCTGGCATATCTTCTGGCATTCTATCTGACATGCTATCTGGCGTTCTATCTGGCATACTATCTGGCCGTTGAGGTCCAGCAGTGCTCACTGAGCTCGGAAGGTCCCAGGTTGAGGTCCAGTGGTGCTCACTGAGCTCGGAGGGTCCCAGGTTGAGGTCCAGCGGTGCTCACTGAGCTCGGAGGGTCCGAGGTTGAGGTCCAGCGGTGCTCACTGAGCTCGGAAGGTCCCAGGTTGAGGTCCAGCGGTGCCCAGTGCGCTCAGACCCTTGCAGTTGAGGTCCAGCAGTGCCCACTGCGTGCGGAAGTTGGCGAGGAGCTTGGCGAAGAGTTGGCAAGGCGGAAGTGAACATGGAAGTGGAGGCAGAGGTGGTGGAGGAGAAGGAGGAGGAGAAGAAGGAGGAGGAGAAGAACAACTCTGATAAAATCTAACAACCCTGACCTGGCAGGTGGGGAAATAACAACAGTGAGTGATTATATTATCAAGAAGTGAGCTAGGATGTTAGACCGATTAGTTATGTTTATTCTCAAAAATGAGCAATTTTGGAAACAGGAGGTGCCTTATTATATGTCAACAATAGTGGGCTATCCTATGAACAATAGTGAATGCTCGTATCAAAAATCATGAAGTATTATATAAATAATCCAAACAGAGTTTTTCTGCAGGCAAGGCACATCACAGGAGCTGCTTGGTCGGTATCCTTGGCGCGGACGCCTGTCAGGAAGTCTGCAAGGCGCCTCCGGTCACCATGCCAGTACTGCAGCAAAACCTCTATGTCCTTCTCAGACGTCACCGTGATGCCCCCGACGCTCTTCAACCCACCTTCCAAATAGGTCGAGACCTTGGTTGATCAAAAAGATCAAGTCATCGATCAGTTTGGACAAAATGGATATACGGCAACATTCAGTGATTTTCATCTCGTTATCTTTCGAAAATCTTTATACATCTTTGTACATCTCTTTACATCTGTAAAAATATTTATCCATGTTTTGCGTCCGTTTTACTTTTCACATATTTTTACATCTTGATACATCTTTATGCATCTTCAAACCTTTTTTTACATCGTATCACATCTTTATACATCTTTATACATCTTTTTTACATCTTAATACATATCTACATTTTACGTCTTTTCGAAACTTTTTACATCTTCATAATCTTCATACATCTTTAAACATCATCATACATGACCTTACACCGTTTTACATCTTCCTACCTCTTTGCACATCTCTCCACATCTTGATGCATCGTTGTACTTCTTTGTTTGTACACGTCTTTATGCCCATTTTTGTATGCACATCTGCATACATCGTTGTATGTACGCCTTAGTTTGTACATCTTTGTTTGTACACCTTTGTCTCTAAATCTTTTTTATCTACATCTCCCAACATCTTTTTACATATTTCTTGTCTTTGTCCATCTTTTTACATCTTTGTACATCCTTGTACCTCTTCATCCATCTTTATCTTGCCCTTATGACAGGCTGCCCTACTTCCTGTCATCAGATGCCTTCAATGGCCTTCAATGCTTTGCTTCAGGTTGAGCCAGGCAACGGACACAAGCGGCCCAGAACGGAGAACCTGTCCTTCAAAGAGATCAACAGTGGTGAAGCGTCCGAGGCCACTGCCAGGCCCTGCTGTAGAATCTCGCAGCTCTGTATTTACCTTGGAACACTGAACGCGACAGAGAGCAAAATGCCAAACGGAAAGGAGCGGAAAAATAGACTGATGAATGAATATCAGCAAGTGGTGAACAAGCCAGAGCAAAGCGTGAGCAAAGCAGAAGCAGGAAACCTTCGAAGCATGAATTGGAAGGGGTTTTTAAGGGCAAGGCAAAAATGACACCCGGTGGAGGCGGAATACTGCGCATGTCATCCTTGCAGTCTGATCTTCCTCTGCCTGCCTCCTTCACTCTGTCTGGCAATCCTTTCCTTGCTGATCGTATCTGATCATATTTGACCACAGCCGGTGATGAATTTAAAATACTTTCGTATGAGAAAACATAATAGCACGCGTTCAGGATCCTTTTGCTCAATACCTCTGGGGTGTTTTCACGGCGCAATGGGCCTCGTAGCCGCGCTTCCCGCGTGTGCTTTAAAACCTTCTTTTCACCTGCTATCCTCCTTCCTTAGGGCTCAAGAAATCTAAAAATCTGCGCTATTCCACCTGGCACCTGGGATATGCACGTTTCTATTTGCTGTCGCTGTTGCGATCGCTGTCGCTGCTGTCCCTGTCGCGCTGCGGCGGCTGCGGCTGCTGCGGCGGCTGCGGCTGCGGCGGCTGCGGCTGCTGCGGCTGCTGCGGCTGCTGCTGCTGCTGCTGCTGCTGCTGCTCTTGCCGTCCTTGGTGTTGTTGGTGTTGTTGGTGTTGTTGGTGTTGTTGGTGTTGTTGGTGTTGTTGTTGTTGTTGCTGCTGTTGTTGTTGTTGTTGTTGCTTTTGCTGTTGCTGTTGCTGCTGTTGTTGCTGTTGTTGCTGCTGTTGTCGTTGTCGTTGTCGTTGTCCTTGTTGTGGTTGCTGTTGTTGTTGTTGTTGTTGTCGTTGTTGCTGTTGCTGTTGCTGTTCCTGTTCCTGTTGGTGTTGTTGTTGCTGTTGCTGTTGCTGTTGCTGCTGCTGCTGCTGCTGTTGTTGTTGTGGTCGTCGTCGTCGTCGTCGTCGTCGTCGTCGTCAGTGTTAACTAATGTGTCTAGCATTCTCAGAGGCTGCTTCACGATGTTGATTTTTCGAAAGTTTGCCCTGGCGCTGTGTGCTGATTGAAGTTGTTGGCCACTAGCTCACACACGGTAGCAGATCAAAGCAAGAAGCCTTTGCCGCACCAGGCAAAGAAAGCATTTGATGCTTCACATTCAGGTCAAAAGACCGTCTCGAGACACGTCCGCCCCAAAATTTGTCTGCGAAAGTCGCAGGTCAGCGTTGGAAGCCTGGCCTTAGATGAAAGCGCAGCATACAGAATGTCTTGGAATCCAAAGGCCCAAGTCTTCGATAAGGCTGTTGCCAGCTGTCATGTTTTGACAACTCAAAAAGAAGTTTGTCATCGAGGGTGGCTGCGAAATGGTAAAAAATGGAAGAAAACAAAACGTTTGATCGATGTTATTCTATTGCCGTATTTGGTCCCAGCGGTCCTTAAGGCAGGGCCTCTGCTTGGCAAGCACTGAAAAGAGTCAGGCTAGTTCTGTTCACTTGCGCTTTGTGGCCACATAAATTCTTATCATCCCGTCCTTCCAAAATATTAAGAACCAAGTCCAAGCCAATTGCTGGGTGGTTCAGGACTGGCACAAAATCTGCGATTGTACTAAGCATTGAAAACAAATATGTGCAGGAAAGAATGCTCAAAATCATCACAGATCAGAAAGAACACCCAAGAATGCACAGATCGCAAGCGAAGAGCACCCGTGGAAATCCATGCAGGGGACAATACACCCTAGCTTCCGACTCAAAGCACAAGGCCCACAGTGCGGGCGTGGATCTGGCTGATCCTTTTCAGAATTCATCACTATTCATCCTCAAATTCTCGTTTCATTGTGAGCTTTTGCTCCTCCTCGATTATCTGAAGTCGTAAGAGGGGGGCTTAGCCAACCCCACTTTACGAATTCAAATTCAAATTTGAATTCGTAAGGAGGGGCCGGGGTTCCTAACAAGTGGTCCTAGTAAGAACTGAGGCCCCTCCTTACAAAATTCGTCCCCCCTCTGCGAATTCAAATTTGAATTTGAATTCGTAAAGTGGGTTTGGCTAAACCCCTCTCTTACGACTTCAGATAATCCAGGAGAAGCACCAGCTCACAATGAAACGAGAATTTGAGGATGAATAGTGATGAATTCTGACAAGGCAAAGTGCACACCGTTGTGGCGCGAAGCACATTTCGAAGTCAAAAAGCAGGTCAGCCTCGGAACACTTTTGGAAGTTGAGATGTTGAAAAAGTGCACACCGTTGTGGCGCGAAGCACATTTCGAAGTCAAAATGTACAAAGCACGTCAGCCTCGGAACACTTTTGGAAGTTGAGATGTTGAAAAAGTGCACACCGTTGTGTCGCGAAGCACATTTCGAAGTCAGGTTTGGACCACCTTTGGAAGTTGAGATGTCTAAAAATTGCACGCCGTTGTGGCGCGAAGCACATTTCGAAGTTAACATGTACAAAAATGTGTCAGCTTCGGAACACTTTTGGAAGTTGAGATGTTGAAAAAGTGCACGCTGTTGTGGCGCGAAGCAATGCGAAGCACATTTCGAAGTCAAAATGTACAAAGCGCACCATATTCGGACCAGTGTTCGAAGTTGAGATGTCGCAAAAGTGCACGCCGTTGTGGCGCGAAGCACATTTCGAAGTCAAAATGTACAAAACGTGTCAACCTCGGAACCCTTTTGGAAGTTGAGATGTTGAAAAAGTGCACGCCGCTGTGGCGCGAAAAACATTTCGAAGTCAAAAGGTACAAAGCGCCACTTTTGGACGTTTGAATGTCGTTTCGCGTGGCAGGCGCAAGCGATTGTGCACCTTGTCAAAAGTCAGCAAAACGTGAGGGTTTTGTAGCAATTTCAAAAACATTGGGAGGCGTGGAGCATTTGAACACGATCCGCAATGGAAGGCCTAGTACAAGAGACATGTTCATCAGGGATGTTAAGAGGTCAGGGCGGAGATTTCCTGAGAAGGGGTGCATTTTGGAGCATCAGATCTTCAGGTTTGCTAAGATGATTTTGCGCTACAGGTGCCGCACTTCGTATGACCTGGCATCAATTTTTCGTGGCAGGCGCAATACTTTAGACAGGTGGAGTGGAAAAATCGCAAAACGCATTGGTACGAGGCTGTCAGCGCTGCACTTAACTTTCTATTTTTGAAGGAAGTCTCGCAGAATCGCTGCGTTTTTGATGTTGTCACCTTCGAAAATTGAGGAAGTCTCCCAGAATTGTTTCGTTTTTGACTTGTCCTCTCACAGAACTGCTTCGTTTTTGATGTTGCGAAGCTCAAAAACTGAGGAAGTCTCCCAGACTAGCTTAGTTTTTAATTTTCAAGCTTGCAGATAGACAGATAGACAGATAGACAGATAGACAGATAGGTAGATAGATAGATAGATAGGCAACTACGACTACAACGACCACTACCACTACACTACACTACTACTACAACTACAAATGCAAATATACTACGCTACATTACACTACACTAATTACATTACACTACACTACACACTACACTGCACTACACTACACTACACTAATTACATCTAATTACACTACACTACACTAATTACACTACAACCCTGACTACTACGACTACGACGACGACTACTATACTTCTACCACCACGACGACGACTACTACTACCACTACCACTACCACAGCTACAACTACAATTACACGACTACACGACCCTACATTACACCACACTACACTAATTACACTGCAGTACGGTACAACTACAAATACAACTACACTACACAATGTCACAACACTACACTATCTACATTACATTACATTACATTACATTACATTGCATTGCATTACATTACACTACAACTAGAACTACAACTGCAACTGCAACTACAACTACCACTATATTATGCTTTACAACATACACTATAATTACTCTACGCAACATTGCAACTACAACTACACTGTTTTACACGACACCACACTAGACTACACTGCACTATACGACACTACAATGCACAACACTACAATACACTACACTACACTAATTACACCACACCACAACTACAACTGCAACTGCAACTACACTACACTAATTGCACTACATTACAACTACAGCTCCACTACACTGCACTACAACTACAACTCCAGTACGCTACGCTACAACTACAGCTACAACTACAACTACCGCTACAACTACAACTACAGCTGCACTATAGCACACTACATCCAGCAGTTGTGGTGAGGTGACCGCTGCAACCATTGCAACCACTCCAAAAAACACAACTCCAACCACCTGTCAGTCCATCAGTGGATTTGCTCTGCCATCCGTGATTCACAACAACCAACCTCTCCTATAGGCCCATAGGCTTCCTATTTTTGAAACTTCCGCCACCGCCTTGTGCGGTACTACTGGTAGAATCTTATAGATCCAAATGGCCCGATGGATTTTTTGCAGCCCGGGACCTGATCCTCAGCCCAAAGCCCACAGGCGCACTGGCCCTCCATGGCCAACATGCTTGCAATCTGTGCGCCCCTTCTTGTCTTTTTGGGTCTCTATTATCACTCACTGCGATCACTGCCGGCGCTGCATCCTTGGACAGAAAGATAAGAATTTATGTGGCCACAAAGCGCAAGTGAACAGAAATAGCCTCACTCTTTTCAGTGCTTGCCAAGAAGAGGCCCTGCCTTAAGGACCGCTGGGACCAAATACGGCAATAGAATAACATCGATCAAACGTTCTGTTTTCTACTGCTTTTGACCATTTTGCAGCCACCCTCGATGACAAAATTCTTGTTTGAGTTGTCAAACATGACAGCTGGCAGCAGCCTTATCGAAGACTTGGGCCTTGGGATTCCAAGACATTCTGTATGCTGCGCTTTCATCTAGGGCCAGGCTTCCAACGCTGACCTGCGACTTTCGCAGACAAATTTTGGGGCGGACGTGTCTCGAGACGGTCTTTTGACCTGAATGTGAAGCATCAAATGCTTTCTTTGCCTGGTGCGGCAAAGGCTTCTGTCCCACCCGT